TTCTGAATGATAATAGTAGTGTCAGTGTCTTAAACTGCAATTGATGGAGGTGCCCTCCGCACACCTTTCAGCAGTCCCGGCCAACAATCAAATAAATGGTGCTCGAAGTAACTTCACGGATGGCACCGTGCAAAACACAAGATTGAAGAAAATAGGTCACCAGCACTATGGAGTGCTGGTGACCTATTTTCTTCAATCTAGTGTCTTAAACTGACGTCAGTTTCACACAGACCATCATATTGTTCTGACTGATCAGCATCAGCAAAGGTTAAAGTATTGTATACAAATATAAATCAATGTTCTATATATAGCCAGGGGAGTTTATCATTGTTAGGGCGTGTCAACCTAGGATAGTCACAGGAGAGACTAAATATACTAGGCACACAGGACAGTAAGTTTCTGACCATTTGAGATGAGTATTTAATGTTTTACAAAACAAGATTTTTGTACTCACCATAAAATCTGTTTCTTAATCGACACAGAATTAGTAGCATTCTGAGACAATTAGGTTATGCTGCTGCCTACAGGAGAAACTGGACACTGGCAAACCAAAAAGGATGTTGGCCAGCCAAGTATAGGCCATCTCACTCTCATCATGATTCCATTATAAAAAGCAGTATTAGGAATAGATCTTAAACACAGAGGGGTGGGACCAGTGTCTCCTTTATTGAACCTCAGGAGATGGATTTTACAGGGAGTACAAAAATCTTGCTTTCATTATTTTTTATTAAGCGACACAGGGTCAGTAGAATTCTGAGACAACTGGGATATCCAAAAGCAGTCCAACTGAGGGGTGGGCAACACAGCAAAAAAATGCTAGTAAGGCACAAAACAACAGTGTAAAACTAGGGGTGTCTGCAGGGTCGGTGCAAACTAGGCAGCCACCTAGGGCGCAGCCTTGACCATTCACCCCCCCCCATGACAACCCTAGTATATTTCAAATTGCAAAAGCAAATAGCAGGCTGGCTATTGCACCTGCCCACTGAGCAGAGGAGCAACAACTTTCTCTCTCAGGTTCGCTCCTCTGCTCAGTGGGTGGGGTTTCAATAGCCAGTTTGCTATTGGCTATTTCAATTTAAATTACATCCACCTGTCGTCTGCAGAAGCTAAAGCGCAGGAGAATGGAGCTGCGCAGGGGTGGGATTGGGGGTTACGCCACGGAAGGGGGGTGCAAGTAGCTGGTCTTGCCTAAGGCGCAAAATAGTCTAGCACTAGCCCTGGCTGTCTGCAGCTCAAAGAGCTGCCTGGAGGATCTTATGCCCATAACTTGCATTAACAGAGTGAAGATCTGCATAAGAACCCTGATTTAGGACCTAGAGGTCTGGGAGAGAGGAAAGGAATGCTTAAGCTTCAGAAGCAGGAGGATTTCCAAACTGAGGCTTAGGTTTCTTTTGTTGGGGTAAAAGGCATATACAGTAAGTGTTTATTGCACTGTTGTTCTGCAGACCAACCTTTTAGACAAAGAGTGCTCCCTGTAAATTAATAAACAGGAGACTCATTCAAGTCAAAACTGAGTGAGCAGTAACTATAGTTGCAGGTTCTCTGGACATTGCTTTCATCCAAACCCCTAGCATCTGACAAATGGGCATGCCAGCTATGGCAGGTTGTAAAGCGGGGCCTGCCAGGGAAAACAAAGACTTCTTTCCAAGCCATTTTTCAGTTGTCAGTTCTGTGATACTTTGACTGACATTGACAGTCATGCAACACTGTGCTGTGCCCAAATATCTTTTATATTATTTTTTGAGACAGCAACAATTTTCTGCGTGAAGTGGTGCATTACCTGACAGAAATGCAGGGGTGCCAATATTTTTGGCCATGACTGCAAATATATATTTATCAACCCTTATGTTGTGACTGATCATCACATTTCTTGAGGCCCTAAAATGTCAGGACAGTAAAAACATCCCCCAAATCCCCCTCTTCTGGAAAAAAGACACCCATTGGTATATAACAAGAGGCATGGTGAGTATTTTAAAGTTCCCACTTTTTGCCACAATTTTTGGAAAATAAAAATGTATATTAATTTTTTTTTCCTAACATGTCATTTGAATAAGATATTTCTCACACACAGTTTGGACATACTTAGAATTACTGCTATTTCCCTCAAGTTTGGTGATAGCACATGTGTGAGACTTTCTTGCAGTCTAACTGCATAGAGGGGCCCAGAAATCCAAGCACCTTCAGGCTTTCATGGGGTATAAATGACACATCTGATTTTTTGACTATTTATCACATTTTTGGGGTCCCTGAAGTGCCATGACAGTAGAAACACCCACAAAATTGCTGGCACTGATAGTAATCAGGCACTGGTGAACTAGCAGGGTGCTGAAATAGAACCTAGTGAGCATGTAACATTCTGGACAATATTAACACCTTTCACAGGCATACTCCCTTTGGGAGTCTTTAGGGATCAGGAGCACAGGAGAGGCTGTGTCACGGCCCTGGACTTATAATGCACTCTGTGCCTAAAAAAACAGTACGCTAGGTGTCTGAGAAACCCCACTAGCAGAGCCTAGCTTTTGAGGGTCTCATTTCATGCAGAAGTCCAAAGACCTGTAGCACTCCTTACCGGAACTCCCAAACGTATATGAGGGTGCTTGCAATGACCGCGGATGGCGCCGCATTCAGCATAATAAAATATAGGAATGTCACCAGCACGACAGAGACATAGATGTCAGTGCAAATCCATTCATTTGTTGTCAGTCATTACTCAAAGTATCATCAATCGCTTTCGGGGGGCCGCACAGGGTACCCTTCATCAGGCTCAGAGTAAACATTTCATGCAGGCCGCGCATCTTCATCATGGTGGGGTCTGAGTATGGCCACTTAGTTGGTGCCAAGGATTAGTCAATCAGGATAGCAGCATTATGAGCTCATTGCACAAGGAAACAATGGATTTTGATTCAATAAAAAAATATTCTTGATAAACGTAACAAATGTGTAGAGAACATGGTTTAACATTTCTCTGAGGAGAAAAGGCATCCATCCTCCTAGGACACTAGTAAAAACTGAAGCATCAAAGGAGTTGGAAGGGGTTATACTTGGATGACCAAATGCTTTTTGTTTGCTAGGGTCCAATTTATCCTATGGGCAGCAGCATAATCAAATTGTCTCAGAATTCTACTGATTCTTATAATAAAGAATAATAAAAGCAAATGTATCCACCTTCATCTAGCAAGCAAAGATATACCATTTCCTTTTAGTTCACTAGCACCCATAATGTTAACACACTAATACAATTTAAAGAAAATCTGTCATTGGAGACACATGGAGGTTGTCATCACTTGTGGGTAAGGATCTATGACTTTTCACTGACCTTCTGATCTGTCCTATTGTTTTAGGTCAGTAAGTCAAAGTGTTAACGTTAATGGCAACTTGCATTTTTCTAATTTTGTCAGCTTTTGCTGTTTTGGATCTCTTACCATTGGTGAACTGGTAAGAGACCCAAAACAGCAAAAAGCTGTAGCTAACCTTAAATAACATCAATTCAATTTGTATTTTTTGGTGAAAGATGATAAATACATGTTTATTTTCTTGTTGATAAATAATATGAAGCCATCAAAATGAAAATGTTGGCCCTTTGATAAGTAACAACACATCCTTTATCCTTGTTGGTGTACATCAAACAAACATGAAAAAACACTTGTGAATTTCCTGTGATGCTGCTTAAGGCTAGGCTCTGCAACGGTCCCTCCCATCGATGCAAGTATCTGGATCTCAACTGCGGAGGTTCTCCTCCAATTGGAGAAGAGGAGTCAGTTAAGCAGCTTACCCCTCAATACCCTGTATTTGTCTAAGGTGGAGAGGGAGCTGCATTACATCATACCCCTTGTGGTATCAGAGAGTACTACCGTGTGCTGACTGGTGGCAGGTGTCCCAATGTCTGGTTGGGTGCACGCACAGGTAAAATCACAGATGCGAAATGAGGTGAAGTTGTCCACATAAGGTTAATGGATTATTAGCTCCACCATCAGGTGGAGTTGCAGACTGATACGTGCAGTAAGATAAATGCAAGTCTTAACCGTTAATATATGCAGGATAAGGTGCAGGCAATAGTATAGTATCACAGCATACGTTAATCAAATTCAACTGATGATAGGTATCCAGCACTGGTAATTAAACAGCAAGGCAAGATCTACACAGAAACCAATGCAATGCAGACTCTAGCTATATGGTGGGCATCAGCCCAGGTACTTGCGATATTACACTCCTTGAGAGAGTCTGTATTGAGGAATCCTCGAGTCAAGTCCTGGCTCATTAGGTAGGTCCTGGCGATATGGCAGGGTTGGACACTGGTTGATCAGTGTCCAGCTCCAACAACAGTAGGACGCCGATCAATTAGTGAGCAGCGGCTTTAAGCCGACTGCTCGTGTGAGATGGGGCGGAGTCCCGCGGTGCGCTTGCGCAGACCGAGGAATCATCGTCCTGGGTGTCGTGCGTTGCAGCGCAGGTGTGAACGTAGCCTTAAAGTAATATTAAACTCTCAATCATGAATCCAGATCAAACAAATATGCATTGCCGAGGAAAGTGTTTCTGTAAAGTTTTGGCCAAACAATTACAATCATCATGTTTCTGAATGCCTGACTCCAACTCTCTGAGTTCTGCTTGCCTGAACTTCCTGTTGAGTACAAGGTCACAAAAGACAGCAGTCTCCAGAAGCTATCCATCTACTGGCCTGTAGAAGGTAGGATGAGGGGAGGGAAATGGCTTGCCTTGCTGTGTCTGTGTTTTGTGGAGACAGCTTACTAGCACACACAAGGGTGGTTTCAAGGGACCCTGCAAGGCAAAGAAGCCACCCTAAATCAGGATATCAAGGCCAGTGATCAGGGGACCAGCTGATTCTGCAGCATGCTAAAAATCCTGAAATCAAGCAGTAGCATTCATTGTAAGTGATCAGCATTTGAAATAGCTGAAACACATTTTGACTTTAGTATCACTTTAATACTACATAATAGTAATGTTGCAAGATAAAGTTATATAACCATGGTTTAAAAACTCACCTTTCTACCCAGTTTTTATAACTTGGGATGTCCTTGGCATAGAGAAGCTTGTTTGAAGGTGAATCTTTGCCTAAGCGGTGCTCTGATGTTGAGCATGAATCCATAAATGTCTGAGCCACCACAGAAAGGCAAGCATCTGTAATGCTGTTCTTGTGGATGTCAAACACAAATTGAGGATTTTTGATAACATTCACCCAGAACCTCAACGGTAAGCTAGCAAGAAAAAAAATATATTTGGTAAATACTGAACTTTAAAATAAAATAATGAAAGAAACAACAAAATAAATAAATGCACACTGTATATATATATATCTATTTCTATATAGATATATATCTATATATATAGTTACAGATATATCAATATATATATCTATATATCTATATATATAGATATATATATATTTAAACACACAAGCTATTTTACCTGCATATGACCATAAATTCTTGCGTGTTGGGCACACTTGCCAGACAGCAAAGCTAGGTAATTAATTTCACTTATCTCTTAGTTATCTCTGCAACAGTTGTACAGTTGTAATGAGCTTAGTCAAAGACCCACTCTAGCCAGCTGATTGGACAATGAAGTATCAGCAGCACACTGATGTGGGCTATGTCAGTTCATGTCAACTATATACCATTCAGCTATGTTTTTAGGATTACAATCCAGCCCGTATATCTTATTGCAAGCTCTAAATCATTGCAGTGTGTTATTTACCCTCTACTATACAAGTTACTGCCAGCAGAACATTGGGACTGTGCATTTCCTCCTGCCCTCTGTGACAATGAGCTGGATCAGGACACAGCAGTGACACATATACACAGCCTGGGCACCAATAAGTGTCTGACTAATGAAGCATTAGCATATTATTAACATTATCTGGCGCTTTTAATCTCAAACTGATTGCAGCCACTCAGACTAAATGAGCAGGAGGTTTATTTAAAGGGGATGAGGGAGGGGAGAGAGGAAATGAAGAAATTATCTCCTTGCAATCAGATTAAATTAACTTTGAGTCACTTCTTATAGACCTTCACATCAATGAGCCTGTAATACAGGCTTCAGTTAGCCCTTGATCATGGAGGAAAATACACTGTCATTCTCAATCGCCAGCTCTATAGTAGTATGTGACACAGCAAGATACAGATCTTGCATTGCTAAATATTAACTAAATATTAACTAACACATTTCAAGCTTCACCTCATATTGATATATTGTCTATATATCTATATGGCTCTAACACTTCCCATATCCTTGTATATGCAATGAAAGAAGAAGCTCATCTAGAAGTTTCTTGAATGTATTAATGCTTTTAGCGGATACCACTGCCTGTGGAAGGGAAGTCCACATTTGTTATTGCGCGCACAGTAAAATAACCTTTTCACAGTCTAAGATTGAAGCACTTTTCTTCTAACCTCTTGTTGTGTACACATGTTCTAAATACAGTTCTCGATATAAACAACTTGTTCCAAATATTGTGGTCCCCAATTATGATTTTGAAAACTGCAATAAGGTCCCCTCTAAATCGCCTCTTTTCTAAGGTGAATAGGTTTAATTGCTGGATGCGATCTTTATAACTCAGGCCTTTTATCCCTTTAATTAATTTTGTAGCCGTTCTCTGAACTCTCTCAAGCTCAAGGACGTTTTTCCTGAGGGTTGGCAACCAAAACTGCACTGCTTACTCAAGATGAGGCCAAACCAGTAATTTATAAAGTTTAAGTATTACTCTTTTATCTACTTGCTACAATCCCTCTTTTAATGCAGGGCAGTATCCTGTTTGCTTTGCTTGGCATTGCATACTCATTGCAGGCTTTATCCCGCGGCTCACATACCAACATCATCTGGCTGCATATATCAGGTATCTTACTGATTGTTATTTCTTCTTTGCACTCATGTTTATACTGTGTTTTTACTATGGTTTTTACTATCGATTGTATATGGCATTTTTCTTATCAGGTGTGCTCTGATGTCATGATGATGTCATGGGGCGGGGTTTTACATTTTCTCCACACTTACTGAACGATACATATGTGGTATACTCACTTGTCACATTTCTGCCCTGATGAAGGGACCCTGCGTGGTCCCGAAACGTTGGGTTATTTGATATGTGTGACGTTTAGTCCAAATAAATGGACATTTTTTGTATTTAATTTACGGAGTGCTGGTGATTTCTATCATTCATTGATAAAAACAAGCATTCTTGATATATTTTCTGTTCATGTTGAATGTATTCTGATATAATACTGGGCACTAGATGGAGCTGTGGAACACATTAAACACATACTTATTTCCTATGCTCCTCAGCTCCATCTCGTGGTGATAGGGGCTCATTTTAGGGGCTAGATTAAGTTATAGATGAGGGTAGGGTAGTATTAAGTGTTTAGTTAGCTTATGTGTTATGTGACGACTAGGGGTCAGGAAGATATAGGGAACTAATTTCTTCTTGTTTTGTTACACTGAAAATTGTGTGTAATGTTTTTAAAATGTAAGTTATTCTGGAAAATATAAGACAGACTTTCTATGTTGCCAAAGGCTGGAAACTTACCAGTTGCTTTTCCAGGTGTGTCGAACATGGGGATCATGGATATTGTGCTTGTCTGCTTGCTCATCCAGGAAATCAAACATATATTTGATGGCTAAGGGAAGAGCACTACCCCGATGTGCTGTGCTGAATATAGTCTCAAACAAGTCATCTACAAATTTCTGTAAGGTGCCCTGAATCAAAAAACAATAACATTGTAAAAATATTATATTTGATCACAACATTCTATTTTTCAGATATTAAAAGCATAGCAAGTACAATTTTAATTTATATTTGCTTTATCTTACTTATATTTTCCAGCATTAAAATAGTAACAATAAGTGAACAGTAGACAATGTAAAGGGAATACTAATTGGACCATGTATTGCACAAAAAGGCTTTGAATTGTGGTAGGTGATCAGGTGATCAAAAACCTTAGATGAATTAAGCCCAAATATAGGTGAAAATGCAATCTACATACCAACTAAGATCTGGTCTGCAGGGAAACACTGCTCATCACTGATTCTGCTGCACAAACGTTACCTTACAAATTGAATGGGCTGCTGCATTTGTGGCAGAACGTGTTGCTGCTGAGCTACTAACAACTTCAATAACCTTAACACTTTTATTTAGCAAGAAACATTTAACCCCTTCGTGACGGGAGACGTACAGTGTACGTCTTGTCACTTTGTGCCTATATGACTGGCCACGTACACTGTACGTGACGAGTTATATCAGGCTTTGTAATGCCGGTATTTGCTGATTCTCAGCATTTAACAGTCATTCATTAATGTCTCAGTATTGAGGCATTAATTAATGAAATAATTAAGCTTTTTGTAAAAGCTTCTTCCTTTCATTAATGAAAGAATGAAGCCGTTACATGCAAATAGAGGACCGCAATTTGCGATCCCGTATTTGACAGCTCAAAATAGCAGAGAGGCAGCAGTGACTCACCTCACCTCTCTGCTATTTGTTTTGACAGTTCGAGAGCCCGATGTTTAGATACATTTCACTGAAAGGATACAATGTATCTCTTTTGAGTGAAATGTATCATTTCTGATCGTCTAGGCACGATCAAAGAGCTTTTAGTGAGATCTGAATCTGACTAAAGTCAGGATCAGTCTCTAAGGTTATTATTAGCTGTTCCTAAGTTTGGATCAGCCTAATAGCCAAAAATAAAATAAAAAAGTTAATTTATCAAGCTGTCATAGTGATTGCTTGATATAAACTGACAAGAAAAAAAAAAGTTTTTTTATTTTATTTTTATTTTTTTTACAAAGTGTAAAAAAATTAAAATAAAGTGTAAAACAAAATTAGGAAAATATAAATTATATATAAATATATTTTTTATACTATAATTAATATAAAAAAATTCTAAAAAAAAAAATAATAATCAAAACTTGTGAAAAAATGGTTTTCTTCTAGTTTTTTTCCTAATTTTTTTATTTTATTCAAACTAAGTGAGGGGTTAGGTACACATATGTGATATAATTATATAGCCCTATCTGTCCTCTAAAAAACAATATATAATATGTGTGGGTACATTTAGTAAGAAAGTATATTACTGCTGTGGAAGAATCACACAGCAAAAATGTCAAAAATGTGTCAGTCATTTATGAACAGAACCTGAAAACTAGCTCAGTCATGAAGGGGTTAAAAAGGAAAAGGATACATTTGTACAAAGGGATACTGAAAATTTAGCTTAGGCAGGCTTTTATACAGTAGAAAATTGTGGCAAATTTAATTAAATGTAGATATTGTTGTTCATTTATTGATTTGGCAAATAAGCTTAGTCTGTAAATCCTACAGAGAATTCTACAGAGGACCTCTACGATTAAGCCCATTTGTGTTGAAACATGCTATAGCAGAGCAGACTTTGAGAGGGACAGAGCGGTATCTTGTTGGAGTGCAGACTTTAGCTTTTTTGATGGATTTCCCCTCGTAGCCTCCAGCCTGCTCATAGGACAATAAATCAACAACATTACCTGTCCAAAGAGCATTGAGGTTACTAAAGTAGAAGTTAAGCTGATTCAGGAAGCAGTAATGCTAAGCAGGAAAGTAACAGAGTAATAGAGTTCAGCCTAGCATACGTGTGTATATCAGAAGCATGGCTAGTCAGATTACAAATCCTTTGGTAGGTTAAACAGCAAATATTTGTGTATTTGAAATGTATATTTATACATATGCCTGGAGTTTCTCTTTAAATAAGTAGGAGTATGTTTGTGATATTCTAACAAGAGGACACGTTTTTTTCCTTTGCTTCATATGCTCAAGATTGAACCATTATTCTCTTATAAATATATTTAGAAATGTATGTTATGGAGTGACAAAAAAACTAAAATTAAATTATGTGTGAAACAAAAAATGTAATCAAACCGTTTTATGAAGATGAAAAATAATTTGGGAATGGGGAAGGAATGGAATTTAATCAAAGCTGGCTTTTGACAACACCTGCTTGTGTTATGCAAGTTTTAAGGATATGAATATTCTAGTCTTGAAAACACCTGCACTTAGTGAATCCTGTTTGCATAGAGTTCAACAAGCAGCATGCATAAGAGTAGTTTTTATAATACACTAGGAAATGTATTTTGGGATTGTGTTTTATAAGAAACTCCCCTCTTCAAAATCATACTTAAATCATGGAACATGCAGTTCCAGGCACACAGTTGAATACACAGTTAAAATCCATATATGTGAATAATCCCACTGTGATGTCATCACATACAATGCAGGACTGTTGGTGTATGCGAGGACGCCGAGGGTGCTCAGGGCTTGTCCACAACCTAGAGCATAGGACAGAAGAGGTGAGTGGCGTCTGCCATGCTTTTAACCCTTGCACTGTAGGGGAAGCCCTACTGCAAAGGTAGTTTTTCCACTTTAATACTGGTAATTCTTGGTGGGAAGAACGGGGTTAACAGCTCCGAATAGACCCATATGGGTAGGAGATAATATGATATTATGCTGAATTAGAATGTTTGAAATTGTGGTGATATACTTACAGGCTATCCATTTCTATTCTCCCTTCAATTAGTCGTTTTAAATATTTGTAGCAACTGTAAACATCCCTTATATACTGGTTGGTAAAGTCATTATGGGTCTCAACCCCCAACAGCAATAAAATGTTTAGTCCTTCCATCTTTCAAGTGGATTTCCTCCAGAAATCCTCCATGGGATTGTGTATCCCATCCTTATCATATGGTCAGTAGTTTGGGTTACATAATATTTAACTGGACACACATAGCATGTCATAGCATGTCTTCAGAAGGCCACCTTCTTAGAGACAACCTAGTTATCAAGACAGATGGAATTTTATGCAATACTCATTTATTTTATTTTTTTTAAGTAATATAACAACAAGCAGATGTAAGTAGCTCAGTCAAAAAAAAAAAGAGTGAGGATTTCAAATTTCAGGCTGGGACCTCAAGCAGTCACTGCATCACCAAGAGTTGGAGCTGTGAAAATGCAGAGGAAGAACAAAGGGGAAAAAAGATAATACCACAGGGCAAGGAAAGTGAACCCCATCTAACATTATATATTACAACCATGGCCATATATAGGGATAAATTCAATCCTTAGCACGTACTTGTATAAGACCTGTGGAGTTTTAAAACAATATCTGTAACATCCTAAATGCGTTCATTGCATTCCAGTAACCTTTTTCAATAGACAAAACTAATTATGAAGTGCAGTAACAACCATTTGGAATCTATCATGTATTGGTCTGACTTCAGCAGGTGTATTCTGACAGTTTTGTTTACTGTTTATATGTTTAAATGCTTGAACTGTACATACACTCATTATATACAATTTATTTTCTGAATGCTATTATTTCTTGAAGAGTCACCATATAGCCTGGCTGTACTGCCTTTTGTGTTGTTGGGACCCTTAGCACTTACATTGCCTGCCATGGCTTACACCAGTTGCATTCTTACTTATAACTGTTATTAAAGACAATCCCAGTGCTTAAGATGCATAACACTTGTTACTTACCTAAAACCTAAAACTATAAAACAAATTTCTCAAAACTGAAATCATTACAATTTTGGGTTATACAGCACCAGGGGCATAACCTAGCTCAACGAAGTGTATCCCATGTCCTGCTGGCTGATGGCTTCTGTAGGATGGCAAACTTTTGGCACTGCATTGATTAAGTGCTTCTGCTGTAATAGTAATGGAATCACACTGCTGACCTGCCCCCTTGCCTTGTTCACAGAATTCCTTGCATTCTTTTCCCAGAATGCAAAGTGCTCTTTGAGGGGAAGAGAACAGATGACTGACAATATCCTCTTCCACTCACAAAACGCTTTGCATTCTTTGGAAAGGATGCAAGGAGTTCAGCGAATAGGTAAAAGGGGCACAAGTGGAGGGCAACTACATAATTCCTTAACTATAACAGCAGATGAAGTTAACACATGCTTCACCGGAAGTTCACCGCTGTCAAGGAGATCCAGTATCACTGAAAGGAGGATTTCTACATGAATCATCAGCCAGCAGGATCAGGGTAAACTTTATTAGAGGCATGTTATGTCCCTGGTGCTGTATAACCCCCCAAAAAAATTAACTTTAGTTTTAAGCATGAACTCCTGTATTTTTGACATACCTTAGTAGCTAGCAATCTTGTTAAATAGATTTCTGACACCATTTTACTTCCTCTGTCTCCTTCTTTCTGGTCTCCATGTTCATGGTTCTTCACTAAATGCCACACTTTGACTCCACTCTCCAAATCTGGTGTTATCATTGGAGTGCGAGAACGCAGACTGTCTGGACTTCCAGTGTATTTGATCATATTCTCTGTAATAAACAATAAAAGGCACAGGTTTAATGTGAGATGCAGAGTTTACTTTAACATTTACAGCTTGGCTAAGCTTATTTAATGAGGCAGTGCAAACAGCAAGGATATGCCTTACAAAATGAAAACACTGCAGGCGGAATTCAATTTACTGTATTCAAAACCATTACAGATTGTAATTAGTGGCCATGGGTTAGAATACTTTACATGCAGGTCTTCGTCTTGTTTAACAGACAACATGTGTATTTGCTGACTCACTTGTGTATTTGCCAACAACCAGAAGTAGTACTAAGATCAGTGATGATCTTTAAACTACAGCAACGCATATCAACCAATCAGAAATTATCTTTTGCTGGTCTGACTACAGTGTAGAGGTAATAAACATAGAGAAGAACTGAGTTAAACTTCACTAAAAGAAGTACGGTAAATTGTATTGTCTTTGTTTTAGACTTTTTTTTCACCTGTAATAATATACTACCCACATTTAAAGTCTAAGAAAGACAACTTCACCTAAAACTCACTTTGCATGCTTTGACAGATTGACTTGAGCGTGTAAAAGCTTTTATGAGTAATGGTAATGCAGTATCCTTAATGAATATCCAAAACATAAATAAATAAACTTAAGGGTGGTCACAAAGTGACTTACAAAAGGACACTTATTCCTCACTGATGTTCAATGGCATGATCTCAAAATCTGCAGATCAATAGTAATACTGAAATGGAACAATCAATCCCCATCTTATTTCATGAAAATAAGATGCAATTCTCATTTACACATTTGTTTATGAAAGCTAGAGTGTAATAGAGTTCTGGCTTCAAGCTATCTATTCTGGTTATGCTCATAAGGAATAAAGCATGACAAAGTGAAATGATTAACTGGAAGGTAAGTAAAGGCAGCATGTACTGGAGCCAGATTAGACGGTATATATTGCATCTTTCTTAATCAATCCTGAGGACAAGGAGATGCAGAGATGCATTAGTCTACAGATTAGAATATGTTGCTTCAGCAATGTAATTACAGGCAGAATTTGAACAATTTGATTTGAAAAGGGTGGACATCAATGCTGTCTATCTGTAAAAGATTACAACATAAAGGAATACTTTTACCAAACATATAATATTCTATATATCTCCTGTAAGTTTATTTTTAATTTTTTTGACTGTCCATATTTTTGCTTTAACCTTCACTTCCTGTTCCAGTGACAATAACATATTGCATTTCCTGTCACTTCGTGTCCTATTGTTAACAGACACTTGGACAAATAGAGAGTGTGGATTTCTTCAGTGGGTACATGAACCTGAAATTATCCATTGTGTCTTCTAGTGGTGGGTGAATCTGCACCGGTTCAAAGTTTGAAAAATCAAAACTTATAGAGAAATCCCTTTAAAACCAGTGGGGGGCCAATGTTGTTAAATTCTGGCCATTTTTAGGGGCAACAGGCAAACTACTGTCAAACAGCACAGTAATCTATGCATTTCCATGCAGGACATGTACTGATGCAAAAATAAAATAAAAATATTTCACAGCAGAAAGGGGGTCTTTTCATGCAGCTTCAGGGGCAATATTGTTCTGTGCTCAGAAAATATATATTGTTTTGGGGTTTTATGTAGTTTTCTAGCCAAACATGTAGATTTTAACACATGTGCAAAAAATTAAAATAATTGTACATATTTAGCTGTGGAATTGTTTTTCTCCTTTAACAATTGGTTTGGCTTACATACAGCAGGAACACCCCAATTTGATTTATTTCAGTTTAAAAAAGTTTGATGATACAAGAGTGTAAAATTGGCCAGCAGCAGAACATTTTTAATGAGGGAGAATTGACCAAAATTTACTAGAGAAAAAGAGTACAGAATGGTGTTTTACTACAGGAATGAAGAGACCACAGATGACTCAGCAGTATAAAAAGGGCCAGCAGCAAGACAATTGAGGTGGCAAGGCTAGGACTATATTTACTAGAGACAAAGAGCACCGACTGGGGCTTTATTACAAGAATTAGGACAGTGTGAAATTGGCAGAGGCGGGACAGTTTTAATGAGCAAGGCTAGGCTAAAATTCATTAGAAACAAAAAGCACAGGCTGGGAGTTTTCTACAAGAATAAAGATACTGCACAGAATACAAAAATGTAAAATTGGCCAGCAGTGGGACCATTTGAATTAGTAGGCCAATTTGGCATATGTCAACCGTTTATTTTATCTACAAGGATAGGAAGGTGTGGTGAATGTGATTGATATCATGTTAGGTGGATTACTATTCTTGTACTTTTCTTTCAAATCCTGCAGTGGTGTGCTACAAACGAAAGCCAGATCCAAGAACAGATGGCCAGTAAGAAGTGAATGGTTTGCTGTGAGCATCCCAAACTTAAAAAGGGGTCATATCAACATATATATAAATAAAAAAAAACACAGAAAAATGAAAAGCCTAAACTACCAACCCTGAAAGAAAATCCCACTTTTTATACACAAAAAAAGCAGTTTCACCCCACATAAAGGCTCTATCAACATAAAAAAAATATGATATACCCTAAAAAAATTAAAACCCCCAACTGCCAAAGCCTGTAATAAAAGCCCATTTTTAAAGGGAAGTCTTGCAGCAGAAAAAAGTTTGTAATGGGAAAGACAGCAAATAAAACTGACAGTTGACCATAAATCAACTACGACTTTAAATCAACCACAAAATAAACTTAAAAACTAAAAAGTCCCTCATACTAAGAAAAACAACAACAAAAAGAAAAGCAAAGGAGTTGATTTCCTGAAGGGATAGCAATTAGAATTAAAATACAATTTCCCTACTGATACCGATCTCTTCCTGTACAGCTTGTCCTTTACTTTCCCTGCAGCAGCTTTCAATTCACTGGCTATTCAGTGCCCTATTTTATGGTGAGGGGTCTGGCTTAACCAAAAGCCCCCTTATAGGCCCTCCCACTCTGGTCATAGTTCAAAGACCATGCGGTAGACTGCAATAGGATTAAAATAAATTCCCCATGGCAAAATCTGCACATTAATTTGTCAGGACCACGAATCTCAAACCCACAGGATTTGCCTCAAACCATTGATAGCAGCAAACCAGAACCTTATCTGCCTTATTCTTCTGCTTCATAAAACATTCTACCCTATTCAAAACTACACTTTCAATATTTTCACCATTGGTTATCTAAAGCTGGTGCATAGTAGCCCACAAATGCTATTAAAACCTCTCTTAAATTGAACAGTTTATAAAAGCTATATAAATATACATCTCTCTTTTAATTTACAAATGCATAATGGATTTTGTTCTTCTTTTGATTATAGAAGGCTCTGGCCAAGCGGAAGAAGAATATATTGTAGTGGAAATTACATCAGCTTATGGTGCAAATCTTAAATTTTTAATAAGCCAGACAGTATTTGAAATGTGCATCAGTGACCCCAACACAGTTACCTTTAAGCTGTTATATAACAAAATAATGAGAACCAGAAGTACAAAAAAATTTGCCTTTTAGAATAGCACATAGTAATGTATACTGAGACTGCGTATTGCATAAAGCTTTAAAATCATTTATGTAAATACTGTAACAAGTATATTCCCTATAGGAACCAGATTACTAAGAACAAAAGGAAACCAGCATTGTTCAATAAAAAGCTTTAGATATAATAAGTCACAAAAGGAAAGCCTTTGCATTTTAAAATATTGAAATTACTTTACGATGAGAATACTAAAATCAAATAGTGAATATATTCGCAACCATGAAAAAAAATCAACTTAACAGGAACTAAAGCTAAAAGCACACTGCTGATGATGCAAATTGTAAAATACTAAAATAAGTATATAAATTGTAATAAAGAATATGTGATCACCTAGGATCTCTAAAAGATAAATTAGAAAATACAATTACTGTACAGCTGAATAAAAAAATAAAAGATAAAAACATAGATATAACACAAATACACAAACACACAGAACTGTGTGCACACAAAAGATTTCCAAGCAAATAAGTAAAGCCTTGATAAAGGTGGGTTTTGATCTGTCAAAACATTGGAACAATAAACACCATTTTTTATTATTTTAACTTGGAAGCTCTGTGTGTGCCCTCAACTCTATATTGTGAATTATGTGTCAGAGAGGCGCACAAAGGCAACTATTTACCCCTTGCATATA